CGGACGAAGGAGAATTTATCAATTCGTTTCCAGATGAAAGAACTTGGATAGCTCAAGCACTTCCTTGGTCTACAGATAGATCGCACACAAGAAGGAATATTTCTTTGTCAGCATAAATATTCCAAAGATTTGTTAAAGAGGTTCGGAATGCTTGAATGCAAGCCGATTTCGACGCTGATGGAACCAAATGCCAAAATGTGTTCACATGAAGGAAAAGATTTGGAAGATGCGACAATGTATCAAAAATTGGTAGGCAGTCTAATCTACTTAACCTTGACTCGACCTGACATTTCTTATGCAGTTAATGTGATGAGCCGATACATGCAAAATCCAAAGAAGCCTCATCTGGAAGCAGTTCGACGAATACTGAGATATGTGAAGAGTACAATTGACTATGGTCTTTTGTACAAGAAAGGTGAAGACTGCAAGTTAGTTGGTTACTGCGATGCTAACTATGCAGGAGATCATGACACTAGGAGATCAACAACTGGGTATGTGTTTAAGCTTGGTTCTGGAACAATTTCTTGGTGCAACAAGAGATAGCCGATGATATCATTATCAACTACTGAAGCTGAGTATCGAGTAGCGGCAATGGCAGCTCAAGAGAGTACATGGTTGATACAACTAATGAATAATCTACATCAACAGGTAGATTATGCAGTTCCGTTATACTGTGACAATCAGTCAACAATTCGTTTGGCAGAGAATCCAGTCTTTCATGCAAGAACTAAGCATGTTGAAGTGCACTATCATTTTATCAGAGAAAAGGTTCTGCAAGAAGAAATTGAGATGAGGCAACTCAAGACAAATGATCAAGTTGTAGACTTGTTCACAAAAAGCTTGAGCATTGGCAAATTCGAAATGTTTCGTTGTCAACTCGGCACAGTGAAAATAGTGAGAGCTGGTGTTGAGAGGGAGTGTTGAAGATCAACCCCAGCCTATTACAGAACCCAACCAATATTTTGATTTCAACCCAAGGAAAATAAAAGCCCAATCCATTTTATCTTAGTCCAAAACAATAGAAGCCTTAGCAATTGGTATCAGAACGGGACGGTCAGGATCGTTCTTGTGGAGTTATCTTGAGTCTGAGGAGTTTGGTACTCTGCAAGTTTGTTAGTCAAGCTTGTTCGGTATAGTTAAGTCCTGCCGGCACGATGGGTGACCTTGAAGTAGTTGGAGGATCAAGAAGCTCAACAACAAAAACTACACACGTGGGCAACATGTATGGAGTCTTCCCTACAAGGTCAGGACCTTTGGGAGGTTGTCGGTGGTGATGAAGTTACACAACCGACAAGAAGATGCCAATGGCATCTTCAAAGTGGAAAATTAAACAGGCAAAACAATGTTTGCTTTAAAGATCACATTGAGGAAGAAATGTTGGAGCACATTCGGGATGCAAAACAAACAAAGGAAGCATGGGATACTTTTGTTACACTCTTTTCAAAGAAGAATGATACAAGACTACAACTTCTCGAGAACGAGCTGCTATCAATGACGCAACTGACATGACGATTGCCCAGTACTTTCATAAGGTGAAGTCGATATGCCGCGAATTTCATATTAGATCCAACAGCTCTCTATGGGGAAACCAGGATAAAGAGAATAATTATCCATGGTTTGAGACTTGAATATCGAGGGTTTGTTATCGCTGACAAGGATGGCCGACACAACCCCTCTTGTTGAGTTTGAGAATTTGTTGGCTGTCAAGAAGCTATGGCTAAGCAATAGAAGGTCTTGCTGAAGGGTGAGGAAGAAGCACTCTACACCAGCAAAAGCAGAGGCACTTTCAAGCGGTACAATGGTAGTGGATCTAAAAAGGATGGTACAAAGGAAAATTCTCAAGGAAAGGGAGGCTCTCGTCCAGGGGAGCTTCGAAATCCGGTAATAGCAGAAAATTCAATGGTGAGTGTTACAATGCGGGAAGGTGAGTCACATGGCGAAGATTGTTGACAAGAAAAAGCATGTTTAAAGTAATACTGCTACTTCCAGTCCTAAGGAGAATAACGAAAATGATTGGGATGCCGAAGCGTTATTCGCTATGGAGGAAGAAGAATTAGCCCTTACAACACAATCCAGGAAGGATTGACTACGAGAATGATTGGATCGTAGACTGGGCTGCTAATCATATGATGGGTGATAGACAAAGTTGCAAAATCTGTCTGAATACAAGGGAAATCTTGTGGGTAACAGCCGACAACTTAAGGTTACCGATAACACACATCGGTAAACAATGTTACACCTCGGTATATCCTAACCAGGCAATAACTTCAAGATGTCTACCATGTTCCAGGAATGAAGATAATTTCCTATATGTGGCTCAATGACACATTAGGCCACTATGTCCTATCTGGGTCGCAAGATTTGAAGGTTTTTTGAAACCTCAAGATCTCAAAAAGCCAACAATGGAGGGACGACGATTGGAGTCAGTTTACGTGATGTCAGCAGAGTCTGCATACGTAGACAAGACAGAAGGAACGAGACAGTAGACTTGTGGCACATCGGCTGGGACACGTTAGCTATCCAAGCTAAGCGTGATGATATGAAGTCAGGTTGAGGGCTTCCTCAACTTGACGTGCGAACAGACACGGTCTATGCAGAATGCTAGTATGGTAAAGCACACCAATTGCCATACGAGGAATAGAAGTTTAAAGCAAAGAACCATTGGAATTAGTTCACTCTAATGTATTCGGGCCCGTTAACAACCATCAATTGGCGGTTACGGTACATGGTGACATTCATTGATGACTTTTCAAGGTATGTGTGGGTTTTCTTTATGAAAGAAAAATCTGACACATTCTCAAAGCTTAAAGAGTTCAGAGAGTTTAACTTGAGGAAAGACCAAATAAGCAAGTGCTATGTGTAAATTTTTAATATGGAATCAACTAGTTTTTGTTCCCGCTGAGTTCCAGTTTACTTACATAAATGTTCTTTACTTTGTGTCGAGTGATATATTGCACTATTTTTGTAACATGAAGGGAGATTTTAGAGGAAAAAATCTGCAAATTCACATAATACACCAGAAAATAATTTTCTGCATTACAATGAGACTTTGAGTTTCTTGTCTTATGTTATGATCATACTTGCTTGATGCTTCAGTTTCTTGGCAAAGCCAGACAAATTTGCTTGACTACACACAATCAATTTCATAGAATATACAAACTGCATTCCCCTCATTGTGTATATTGTAATGCTGAGATGTTGCTTTTTCCATGCTAATTTTCATGAAACTCCAATATTGTTATGTTGTCTTCAGAATTTTTATATGTATATGTTTCAAGCAGAAGCTCAAATTTTTTTTAACTGAAGCAGAACATTACTCTCATCTCCTGATGAAGAAACATAGGATATTCTACTATTCAAACTCCAACAATGAAAACTAAACCATCCATGATTGTCAAGCTGCCATTAAATTTAAAGCGTTAAAAGAAATTCTTGCTGAGCAATAAGCACCCGTCTACAATACCTGACACTATAAACCAAAAGCCTCAGCATCAAGTCATCATCAATTGATTGTACCATGGTAGTGAGGACACCGGACGGTATGCAATTCTTGCTTCTGGTGAACTCCGTTTAAACAACAGTATTTCTTTCATAAACCGTAAATTATATTTATCTCTATGCTCATCATTTAAAATCACCATTTTGTCAAGTATTGGTGAATGAGTAAGTAGGAACTCGATAAATTCCAATTTAGGTTGCCGGTAACTGAAATCTGTAACAGAACCTCTTCGATAAATCTTCACAATTTGAAGCTGGCCAAAATGGTAGATTGATTGACTTTGTGCTTGCAGAAATTTGAAAGATTGTATTAAATATTCGCTGCTTCAGATCTAAATAAAGCAATAGGATTGATGTTGGAGATTGTTGAAGATCAACCCCAGCCCATTACAGAACTCAGCCAATATTTTGATTTCAGCCCAAGGAAAATAAAAGCTCAATCCATTTTATCTTAGTCCAAAACAATAGAAGCTTCTCAACAAATGTGGAAGAAAAATATTTTTAGAGAAAATTGTAGAAGGATATAGAAAAGAAATTTTTAGGAGAAGTATGTAGAATATGGTAATAATGTGTGGTTAGAATTATTTCTTAATTTTATATTTATGTGGTGTAGATTGCATGGTGAGGACTATAAATACCCTCCCTTGCATTTGGGTTAGGTATCCTCCAAAAATTAAGTCTTTGTATTCTTAGTTTGAGTGTGGTGTTTTGAGTGTGAGTTGTGAGCTTTATTTTGAGTGTTTGTATTTCTCTTCAAATTGTGAGTGGTTTTTGAAAAGTGTTGTAGTATTTTTTTATTGTGGGTATAATACAAGTAATTTGGTTACTTGTTTGGGTCCAACATTAGTAAGTTTAGAGTTGTGTACTCTAAATTTAACTCAACAGAGATCAGCATTCAAAATGGGAAGGCAAAAAATACAAGAAAAGTTATGAACATCAATGATACAAACTTATTGTGATCCAGAGCTCCTGTAAGTTTGAGCAGAGTTTAAGAATTTTGAGAGTAGCCTTGGTCTGATCATGATCATTGAAACCTCAGAGAGACAAAGAGCCTTCAAATGGTTGGCTGCAGTAAAAGGAGGGTCTAATACATCTCGCAAGAGAAAATTCTGAGATCAAGTGCACAAAAAATCTAAAGAGTAAGATTATGTATGATATTATGTTTAGCAGTTAAATATAAGAGGAAATACAGAATACTGCAATTATTTAGGAATTACCCTCTTTTTTTTTGGCAAAATTCCGAAGTTTGAGGTTCAGCTCTTAGTTACTTACCTTAAGGAAAAACCAGAAATTTTAAGTCTCTTCAGACTGGATAGTTGACTGAGATAGTGGACCAAATGGTAAATCGTTCCTTGATCTTGATATTTAATGCTGGTAAACTCATCTGAAGTCATGATGAAGGCGATCTCTACAAGGACTGGACAATTAATAAGAATGATAGCCCCCAATGTTCCTTGGAGAACTAAGTGTTTGAGCTTTGGGGTCAGGATACTGAAACAAGCTTAATTTTGAAGACCTTTAAGCACCAATCTCTGTAGAACAGGGCAGTTGCCGATCAAGTTTTCCAGCAATTGAATATCATTAGGCTTCCCATGAAGTTGGAGGCTGACCAGATTTCTGAAACCTTTATAAGCACAAAGAGGTTCTGGTAATCCATATTGACGGAGTTGCAAATGGGTCAGATGTTCACAAGACCATATGCAAGCCGGTAACTTATATAAGTTTGCATTCTTATTTGCAGTGCAACCATACTCAAGAGTGAGTTCCCTGATACCGTTTCTTGCAAGATAATGTATCCAAGTCTGAAGATCGGAGTACTTTTCTAAGCTGGTGTTGCAAAGCTTAAAAGTGTGTATATTGCCACAATGAGATAGCAGAACATGATAAACCGAGTATTCGACACCTCTTGTATTTGGACGAGTCCAAAGGGCACGGTTAGAGACCACATCAAAGACCAGCTTTGAAAGGTTAACCCATTTATATCTCCACTGTCTACACAGTATGCTTGTTCTCACAGCCTCCATCTGTAGACGCCCAAGGATATTGTCCAAAAATAGCCCATGGCAATTCGCTAAGTCTATCGATTGTTGTAAGCTCACCTTTGAGCTGATCATGGTGGCTTTGCTCTTGAGTACTCATGGTATCTACACATTGTGAGTACCACATTTTTTCTAGATATGGACAGAGAACTATCACAAAGGAAATTCTCTTAGCAAGCATAAGGCCACATTTGACATAATCACAGATTGAAGTTACAGAATTAAAAAAAAAAAAAAAAAAAAAGAGAAATCATAAATTTTTCAGTGGCATTCAAAAGGCAATATTATTCTTCAAAATTATTATTAATCCATTTGTCTTTTTGCAAGATATGAAAAGCATCCACCACAGAGAAAAACACCAGGGAACAATNTTAGTAAGTTTAGAGTTGTGTACTCTAAATTTAACTCAACAGAGATCAGCATTCAAAATGGAAAGGCAAAAAATACAAGAAAAGTTATGAACATCAATGATACAAACTTATTGTGATCCAGAGCTCCTGTAAGTTTGAGCAGAGTTTAAGAATTTTGAGAGTAGCCTTGGTCTGATCATGATCATTGAAACCTCAGAGAGACAAAGAGCCTTCAAATGGTTGGCTGCAGTAAAAGGAGGGTCTAATACATCTCGCAAGAGAAAATTCTGAGATCAAGTGCACAAAAAATCTAAAGAGTAAGATTATGTATGATATTATGTTTAGCAGTTAAATATAAGAGGAAATACAGAATACTGCAATTATTTAGGAATTACCCTCTTTTTTTTTGGCAAAATTCCGAAGTTTGAGGTTCAGCTCTTAGTTACTTACCTTAAGGAAAAACCAGAAATTTTAAGTCTCTTCAGACTGGATAGTTGACTGAGATAGTGGACCAAATGGTAAATCGTTCCTTGATCTTGATATTTAATGCTGGTAAACTCATCTGAAGTCATGATGAAGGCGATCTCTACAAGGACTGGACAATTAATAAGAATGATAGCCCCCAATGTTCCTTGGAGAACTAAGTGTTTGAGCTTTGGGGTCAGGATACTGAAACAAGCTTAATTTTGAAGACCTTTAAGCACCAATCTCTGTAGAACAGGGCAGTTGCCGATCAAGTTTTCCAGCAATTGAATATCATTAGGCTTCCCATGAAGTTGGAGGCTGACCAGATTTCTGAAACCTTTATAAGCACAAAGAGGTTCTGGTAATCCATATTGACGGAGTTGCAAATGGGTCAGATGTTCACAAGACCATATGCAAGCCGGTAACTTATATAAGTTTGCATTCTTATTTGCAGTGCAACCATACTCAAGAGTGAGTTCCCTGATACCGTTTCTTGCAAGATAATGTATCCAAGTCTGAAGATCGGAGTACTTTTCTAAGCTGGTGTTGCAAAGCTTAAAAGTGTGTATATTGCCACAATGAGATAGCAGAACATGATAAACCGAGTATTCGACACCTCTTGTATTTGGACGAGTCCAAAGGGCACGGTTAGAGACCACATCAAAGACCAGCTTTGAAAGGTTAACCCATTTATATCTCCACTGTCTACACAGTATGCTTGTTCTCACAGCCTCCATCTGTAGACGCCCAAGGATATTGTCCAAAAATAGCCCATGGCAATTCGCTAAGTCTATCGATTGTTGTAAGCTCACCTTTGAGCTGATCATGGTGGCTTTGCTCTTGAGTACTCATGGTATCTACACATTGTGAGTACCACATTTTTTCTAGATATGGACAGAGAACTATCACAAAGGAAATTCTCTTAGCAAGCATAAGGCCACATTTGACATAATCACAGCTTGAACTTACAGAATTAAAAAAAAAAAAAAAAAAAAAGAGAAATCATAAATTTTTCAGTGGCATTCAGAAGGCAATATTATTCTTCAAAATTATTATTAATCCATTTGTCTTTTTGCAAGATATGAAAAGCATCCACCACAGAGAAAAACACCAGGGAACAATGAATGAGATCCTAGCAATTAGCATTATGATTTAGCTAGACAAAACAAAATTTAGAAACTACATCTCTTTCACATCAAAGTGGTGGAGGGTTTTTGTTAAAAATACTAACCCTAGAGACAAAAACACTAATAATAATAATAATATTAAAAAAAAAAAAAAACCATATATGAGGTGAAAACTGTTAAGATTATAGAGTCAAATTCAATTCAAATTAGTATTGTATCAAAACATGTGTTTTTCTAATATGTTTCTAGGATTGTGTTTTCTTTATGAATACAAGAATATAATTGCATTAAGAATTAAAATAAAAATTCTAAGAGATTTGAGTCCTATTAAGAATAGTATCTCATGCATTACCTATAAAAATAGGTTAAATTCTAGGTAAATGAATACAATAAAAGACAAGACCATAATTAGAGAGTGAGACCCACTAAAGTGAGGTTCAATAAGAAAGCCATTATTTTTTATAGTGAAATTTCGCAACGGTAAAATAGATGTAACTCTTATATGGTGAGTAAGTCATTATAAATCTTGTGTTTGTGTATATGGTTGATTATTTGTGTTTTATTGTCTATATTTTTGCTTTGTATATAAGATTTGCTAGCTTTTGATCAAATCCCCACAACAAAAACTAACCCCCAATTTATCATGAAGAAAACTCTTCCCCGTTATCTTTGGAAACACCCAATATCACCCCCATTTTTTTGAATTTAAACATTAAAGCTTAACTGTTTTGAGACAAAAAACCTCTGTTGACAAGATTTCTCTTTCACGGTCTAAGTTATAGCACTTGAATTCGAAAGATGGGATAATATTGGGTGTTTTCGAAACTAAAAGCATAAAATTGTCTTTGTAGATAGATTGGTGGTAAAAATGTCATTCAACCTTTATTTTATTATGTGTATTCCGAATATTAGAAATGTGTTTCGCTTTAGTTAAATAGGTTTTTTAGGGGTAAATTAGGTAGAATAATTTTAAATTAAAGAAAACCCTAATGATATTCTATTTAGTATTTTTTTTTTCAATCGAATCAAAGAAAAGAAAAAGTTACCCATAAAGAAGTGAAAGGTTACGAGTATTAGTTTTCAAAGAGATATGAACTCTAGGATTTCATGTTTAATTATTTCTTTAATTTCTTTATTTACTCCCTCTGTTTCTCTTTGAAAGTCGTTTTAGCCTTATAAATTTGTTCCAAAATAAATGTCGTTTGGCCAAATGCAACACTCTCTCTCTTTCTCGAAGTATACCCCTGTCTCCTCTCTCTCTCTCTCTCTCACCCCTCCTCTCTCTCTCTCTCTCTCTCTCTCTCTCTCTTTCTCTTTCTCTTTAAAAGCCATTTATTTTCTATCAATCATCATTGTCATTTCCCACGCACTTTGAGCAAAGAGAAAAAAATTTTACATTAAAAAATTAATTTATTAAAAAGCATGCAATAACTTAAAACGACTTTTAAAGAGAAATGGAGAGAGTATTTTTTTGTTAAATATTTGGTTGTTGATAATGTTTTGATTTGGAAAATCGATTTATTATAACCATTATTCGTTATTTTGATACCAAATATGTTATAGAATTATTTTATAAAGATTTTTTTTTTCTTTCTAAAGTAGTACCATTATTTAAAGAGACATATTGAGGTATTCTTGACCTTAACATCTAATTATAATATATTTGTCAAGAAAATAATGAATAATAATTGTAATGAATCCAACTTCCAGATCAAAATATCATTAACGACCAAATATTTTTGACAAAAAAATAAAATAAATTAAAGAATAAATTAAAACCTTAGGCCATATTTGGTTTGTGGATTAGAAATTAATGGAATGAAAGTATTATGAATGGAAATTAATGAAATGAAAATATTATGAATGAATAGAACGGATTACCTTGATAAGTCCAATTATTATTGGACGAAGATACCCCTCATTTTTATTTGAAAAGTCAATTTATTTTATTTAATAAGTATAAATTTTATTTTTATTTAAATAAAATATTTCAAAGTTTTAAAAATCTGAAATTTTTTCTTAATGTTAAATTGGAAAAATTGAAATTTCTTCAAACTGGCTAATGTCGATCAAATTCACAGATAACAACTTTTTAACATGGTAGGGCGTCAATGCCAACACATGGCAAACAAGCGGCTAGCGATTTACCAATTTGGGCAAATTGAGATTGCATACCACTGGTGATATGATATCACCCGAGATAGCCGTCGATCGTAGCCATCACAAGTGACATCACCTCACCAGTGGTATGCGGTTGCGATTTGCCTAGATTGGTAGATCGCCAACCACTTGTTTTCCACACACAAGAGGCGACACTCTAACATGTTGAAAAGTTGTCGTCCAGTGACGACAGCGTGGCCGGCAATAATACTAACAACAACAACAATACTATACTGGTGTTAGAGATAAAACAGTGAATAACTTTAAAATTTTAATTGTTAATATTTTAATAAAAGAATTTAATAATTTAAATTTAAATAAATATATTAGGGGTAAAATGAGAAATCAAAATTTAAAACAAGGATAAAAGGGACATTTTAACATCTATTACTAATATCCTTATAAATGGAATGCCAATATGAACTTTTTAAGGGATCATAGATGAGCTTCCAAATTTCTAATATGGAATGTCAACTTACGCGTAACTCAACTAATTTCTTTTGAGATCTTGGAATTATTGGTTAGATAAAAGCTTTAATGAACACCTCTATTAGCAATCGAGATAAATCGAATTTAAAGCTTTTTAAGTAATAAACCAAGAGTTCTTGTCCATTAAAAATTTCTAACACGATAACTCATATATAAAATTGACAGAGGAGAGCCTTAGGAAATGAGGCTCAGAAAATTGGATTTTGGGCTATAGATTGGTTTCTTGAAAGGCGACTGGGCTACAATTATTTGATCATCAGCTGTGTGATGCAGATGGTTCACATTTTAAATGCCTTTTTTCAGGATTGGGCAAAAAGTGTTAAAAGACTTTTGGCACTTGGGATCCTGGATGAGGCTCCATTATATTTATAGCCACATATTTGAAAGGGCAGAT